ACTATCTATCTATCTATCTATCTATCTATCTATCTATCTATCTATCTATCTATCTATCTATCTATCTATCTATCTATCTATCTATCTATCTATCTATCTGTCATTCTCTTTCGATCGTTTTATCTGTCACTCTTTCTATCATTCTATCTATTGTTCAATCATTCTATCTATCTTTCTGTTGTTTTGTCTCTCCATATATCTGTCTATCTATTTATCTATCGTTCCATCATTGTCATTCTACTATCTATCTATCTATCTATCTATCTATCTATCTGTCATTCTCTTTCGATCGTTTTATCTGTCACTCTATCATTCTATCTATTGTTCTATCGTTCTATCTTTCTATTGTTTTGTCTCTCCATATATCTGTCTGTCTATTTATCTATCGTTCCATCATTGTCATTCTGTCTATCGTTCTATAATTTTTTCATGATATGTTCCATCCATCCATCCATCCATCCATCCATCCATCCATCCATCCATCCATCCATCCATCCATCCATCCATCCATCCATCCATCCATCCATCCATCCATCCATCCATCCATCCATCCATCCATCCATCCATCCATCCATCCATCCATCCATCCATCCATCCATCCATCCATCCATCCATCCAGTTTAAAATAAACCCTCAAATTTCAACGACTTTTAAACTTTTTATCTATCCATCCATCCATCTGAATTCTACTTTTTTACATTCAAATTTGAACTGTAATTTTGCATCCTATATGTTGCCTTGTTTCAAATTCAGGATCTAAATTGGAATTTCAAAAGCATTCTCAATCCCATTTTGAATGGCACTAATGTTCAGAACGAGACTGAACACGGAGTGACATATTTAGCTGCAGTGTGAATGCGCTCCATAAGACCAGGTATGTGTATTAAGAAACTAAATAGGATTTACTAAATTTGGATTTCACGTTGATTTTAACACTTTAAAAAAATGACACTCTTCACTTTAATGTCGTGAATAGGTGTGTCTGTCATTCTCTCTCCCTCATGGATCTGTTCAAATGGTTCTATTCATACTCCGATTCTTTTGTGCATCAGGAAAATGACAGTGGAGGTATCTCCAAAATCCCATTCATAGTGAGATAATAACTTATTGGAAATTCATACGCTGAATATCTGTGCCTTCATGCATCTGAATATAGGCAGAACAGCATGAATAGTCAGGCGCATGAATGTGTCGCAGCTGTGGGTGCATATTCTTTTCTGAGGAGGAGGAAATTTGCACCAGAGCAAAAGTCAGACAAAAGAAACCTTAGTCAACATCGTTGGCGTCTATTCAGCGGGAGCTAAACCTGGAATGGCGATGAGCCTGTGGCCCACCGTGTTGCTCTCCTGTGGAGCGTATGAATCTTTAATTGTGGACTCATAATGGTGGCGTTGAGCTGAGAGCATCGAGATCTGCAAATTCAATCCTGGCCTGATGGGCGGCACTCACACAGGCTTCCATCGATGCCACACCCATCGCATTAAAACCAGACTCCTGCCTCCCACCTTTTCTCACCATGGAAACCCGTCTCTAAGGACGAGAGAGGTGAAAGGAAAGCTTCCTTATAAAGGACATTCTCCTGGACAACTTCAATGTCAGCTAGACGGGGGCACAGGCGAGGTGCACAAGTAAATCAGTGGAGCAGAACGCCACACCAACAGCATCGACAAAGAGCAGAATCCATCAAGAGACTTTAAGCCACCACAAAAGCCCCATCCACCCCAGGACCGGTGGATAAACTCATATCAAAGCCACCTGGAGGGCAGTTTCTGAAGATGGAGGAGGAGGAGGCCGTGCCACTGCGGATCTCCCGAGATTATCAGTTTGATCTTCTATCAAATAGGACGACAAATCTTTCAAATCCTGTCAAGAACATGTCCGGGTCATATTTCA